GTCTTGTAGCTTTGGATTATTTTTTTTAAGCATTATTAGGGGGGATCAAGCAATCAAACTTTCTAGCAAGCAAACAATTCTCTGTACTGGTGTCTCTCCCCCTCGACACCGCGTTGCCTTTCTGTAATAGCTTTCATTAATGCAATCAAGCTTTCTTTCATTCTCAATTCTCATTCCTGTTCTCTCAATTGCTCTTGACATTGGTTTTCCCCGTACGGCACTGACAATCTAGTCTAGCGTACGGAGGGGACCTCAGTTGGCGAACAGCAACTGCACTGACATCAGTTGCTTAGCCTTACGTCGCCCTTCCAAGGACTCTCAGGAAGGCGCCGCGTAACAGTAATAATGCACCATTTTCTATCTCATTAGATCTCTTGGACATGTATTAATTATTAGTACTAACTAAGAAACTGATAATCCTATTAGTAGTATTACTTAAGCTTAAACATGTACATATGCATCCTACATAAAGCTAAGCATGCCCTTAAGATCCAACATAAATTAATAGGTATTACCTCAACTACCCTTGGCACTGTGATGACTCAAAAGGTCATCACTTATTTTAAAAGTAATTCTGTGTTCTAAGACTTTGAAAACCTCTTTCTGTCTCACTTCGTAGTGTGTGCGCAGTCGGGGCACACTTCCGGAAAGCTTCTATATGAAATCTAAGTAAAATATGGAAATTGGCTTTTAAAATTGATTAACGTTGACTTGGTCAACATTCTTGGTAAACGGACCCAGACCTATGATCTGACGGTCTCGTAGGGTCTGTAGTAAAATATGGGACTTGGATGTATGCCCGGAATCGAATTCCGAGGTCCTAAGCCCGAGAAATTAATTTTTGAAAGAAATTGTTTAACTAAAATTATAAGAGTTTTGAAAATGTAAAGATGTTTGAAATTGATGGTATCGGGCCCGTATTTTAGTTCCGGAGCCCGGTACAGGTCTTAAAGATTGATTGAATATGTGGAATTTGGCAGGAATCGGAAGTGGTTTGGTATAAAATGGACCTATAGTAGAGGAAATAGTGATTTTGATGTTCTTGAGTGATTTCATGATTTGAGGCTTAATTCATAGTTGTTGATATTATTTTGATGATTTGATCGCATGAGCAAGTCCATATGATATTTTTAGACATGAGTGCATGATTGGTTTGGAGCCCCGAGGGCTCGGGTAAGTTTTGGATAGGCCACGGAGTGAGTTTAGACTTAGAACGTAACAGTTGCAAGTTCAGAGAAAATTTCAGGTCTCTAAAACCAAGCTTCGCGGTCCGCGGTAGGATCTTCGCGACCGCGGTGGAGTCTTCGCGACCGCGGTGGGATTTATGCGGTCCACAGTGAGCAAGGTCATGTCTTCGCGGCCGCGCTCGATATTTCGCGATCCGCGATGGACTCCGCGGCTGCAGTCCTTTTTATGCGGTCAGCGGTGAGGGTCTGAGAGGGGTATATTTAAACGAGACCTTTCAGCCATTTCTCATTTTTCAAAATCCTAAAACATAAGAGGCGGTTTTCCCCAAACCTCAAGTAAGTGATCTTTAACTTAATTTTTTCACTCCTTAACTTCTTTTTACAAGATTTAATCTTAGAATCTAGGGTTTTCATGGTGGAATTGGGAATTATGGGTAGAACTTAGGAATATCAAAATTTGGGGATTTAGACCTCAAATTGAGGTCGGGTTCCAAAACCAATTGTACATCCGGGCTCGAGGGTGAATAGGTAATCGGGTTTTGGTATAAATTTCGGGTTTGGACCAAGCGGGCCCGGGGTCGATTTTTGACTTTTTGGGAAAAATACTAGAAAACCTATTTTCATGCATTAGAATCGGTTTATTTAGCATTTATTAATGTTATTAAGTAAATTGTGGCTAGATACAAGCGAGTTGGAAATGGACCAAGGGATAAAGCGGTAGTTGAAGCTTGATTGTGTTCGTGGCTTTGAGGTAAGTGTTTGGTCTAACCTTAGCTTGAGAGATTAGGAGTTGTGTCCTATTTGCTATGTGTTAATTGTTGAGTACGATATATAGGTGTAGTGACGAGTATCTATACGTTGGTGTCAAGCATGTCCGTGAGTCTTATACTATGATTGATGTGACTCCATTTTGTATTGTTCCTGTTTTATATGACGATTTCTATTGTCGAACAAGGCTTGTGGAAGAATTATTGGTAATTGAACATTGTAGAGCATTGGCTCAAGTTGAGAATTGAGTTGTGAAGTAATTGTGGAAAAGATGAGAGGTTTACAATATTGACTCCCTTGCCGGGATGTTATTGCTTTTGATATTATCTCCCTTGCCATGATGTTAGTACTCATGATATTGTTTTCCCTTGTCGGGATATTGTGGTTATGCTATTGTTCCCTTGCCGGGATTTTATTGTGATATTACTGATTATCTTGCCCAAATTGCTTTGTGATTGTTGCTTGGGTGAGAAAGAGTGTAAAAGCACGAAGGATGATGTCGTGCATGATATTGGGTAAAAGCACGAAGGATGATGTCGTGCATGATATTGGTGAGAGAGTGTTAATGCACGAAGGGTGATGTCGTGCCGATATTGTGAGGTAAAAGCACGAAGGGTGATGTCGTGTCGCACGATGTACAATGTCGTGTCATGATATGAGTGATAATGCACGAAGGATAATTTTGTGCCATGATTATATGAGGTAAAAGCACGAAGGGTGATGCCGTGTCGATTATATTGATTCTTATGGTGAGGACGAGAGTAAAAGCACGAAGGGTGATGACATGCACTTGTCATTGGTTTCCTTATTCTTCCTTATAGTTAAATTTCCGTGTTCCTTTCACTTCTTTACTGAGATTTTATTTGTACCTGATATTCCCCGCAGCATGTTTCCCCTTCCCATCTTTAACTGCTAGTTTTTGTCATTATTACTTGCTATATATGATATAATTGCACAGGTTTATTTGGTAGTCTTGTCCTAGACTCATCACTACTTCGCCGAGGTTAGGCTAGACATTTACCAGCACATGGGGTCGGTTGTGCTGATACTACACTCTGCACTGTATGCAGATCCCGGTGCTGGAGCATTTGGACCATAGAGAGAGGTTGCTACCTTCAGTCCATCAAAAAACCCGAGGTAGTCCTGCAGGCATCCGCAGGCCTTGGCGTCCCCTTCCTACTATTTTTCCATTCAGTTTCTTTTATGTATTTTAGAGACGGCTTTGTATTTATCTTTCAGACCACTGTTTGTAGTTTATCTTAGATAGTTTGTGACATTGTGACACCAAATTCTGGGTAGAGTTAAATGTTGTGTTTTGTACGAGTATTTAGTTATGTTAACAGATTTTGTCTTCCGCATTTCCTTTATCATTATTGTTATTCTGTTGTTAATCACATGTAAAATTCGTAAATGTTAAAAGGTTAAGGAAAAAGGGTAATAAATCTTTAGTGCTCGGCTTGCCTAGCTTTCACTAGTAGGCGCCATCACGACTCCCGAGGACAGGAAATCCGGGTCATGACAGGCACCCTCGTCCTAAAAGAACCTCCTATGACCTTAGCACTAAACAGGCTCAACCGGATAGCCCCGTCCATCAAGACTTAGACTAATAGAAAGAAATCACTCACTAGTATTTTCGCCTCCGCTCATGGGTAAGGTCACTACTGTGAAAACTCAACATACACAAAGTAACAAAGTACTTCCCTATCAAGCATCTAATCCAAATGGGAAGAAAGCATCTTAAAAGTAGGGGTGTGCATTTGAATCGGTTTATCGATAAATCGAATCGATTATTTATTATCGGTTTATCGATTTATCGATTTCGATTTCGATTTCAAAATTTTCCTTATCGAGTTATCGATTTTGATTTCGATTTTGTCTTCTTCAATTATCGGTTTATCGATAAACCGATAAGATAGAGGATATTCTTGGCTTCTTTTACTACTCTCTTCAGGCCAATCACCCTACAAATTGTCGAATCTGTCATTAGTATGTTTTGGATGACAATCTTTATGCCTCGTCATTAGATAAGGAGAGGAGAGAATACTAATGCTTGATGCAACAGAAACCAAGATTTGTTGTCCAACTTCTAACTGAGAAGAAGCCTTTTATATCCTAATTATATTTTGCTCTCCTGATATATCTTTAAGTATCTTAGTCTCTAAAACTGTTACGGACATGAGAGTTATTGTTGATCGATCATCATACACCTCAAAGTCTTTCTGGTGTTCTGGTATTAGAGCCGTTATTTCCTAATGGGAACTGCAGCAGTTTCTGATATGGCAAGATGTTTTTTTTTAAGATACTTTTTTTTTACTTCATCACATCTAATTTGTGAAAATTAATGACCAATTGATGATTGTTTACCATGTTTAGGCATTTTGGAGTAGTTAGATTTTGAAAAGATGTTTGAAAAATACATCACTTGTTGTTCAGCGATGTAATTTATAAATCTCCTATTTTTCTGTGTTCTAACTATAGAATTTGGTTGATTCTCTCTCTTTTTTAATTTTTCTGTTTTTCAAATATATTTTCCGTGAAATCCCGCAAATTTTCTTATTAGTGTAATCGATAAGCCCCAAAAATCGATACATCGAAATCGAAAAAATCGAAACCTTATTGAAACGATAACGATAAACATCTGTACAAATCGAAAATCGAGAAATAATTATCGATAAGAATCAAAATTGAATCGATAAATCGAATGCACACCCCTACTACTTAAAAGGTACTATCTTCTTTTGGGAAATGACATTGATGGGGACTTCCAAATACTCAAAGACAGCCTTCAGTTTCAAACCTTCTTTTTTTCAATGATTAGGAGCTTAACAAGGGTCCACTGTGTTCACGAGACCTTCTATTCATTTCAAACATTATACAGAATATAAACTTCCAATAGTACGTTGGTCCTATGCAAGTTGCAGTCCAAAAAGGACCACAGAGACTCAGATTGGACGAATAACATGTCAGTTTCTCTTGGCTTCATCTACTCATCTTTAAAAGATATATTCTGGATCACCAGATGCACACTTTCAAGAATCCAATGAATAAATAATAATGAAATTATTGATTGTCAAGATATTTTAGTGTAATTACAGTAAAGGACAAGGTCGATTTTCAAGATTTACATTCAATAATCGTTTCTGAAAATCTTCAGATCTTCATTGATGATGATAATTAAGTAGTTCTTGCACTCACAAAAAATGTAGATCTGCATAGTTGCAAACAGCACATGTGGGAAATACACAAACCAAGATCCACCTCTGAAAATTAATGCAAAACACACGTGATTTACAGCATAGGTACAGCCAATCAAGCTTATTCCAGTTTATAGATTGCAATTCTTGATTGAGCAAACACATTCCATGCATCTCATGAGCAACCCATCACTACAGCTCAAGGCTGAGCATCCAAAGAAGACAGAATGTGTTACCAAACCCTATGCAAAGACCAATACTCCATCAGCACTGTCAACTTGCAAGTTAGGAATAAAAAACGGAGATTAGATAAACGAGAGATGAAATAGGTTGATGACTAGCATTAAAATAGTCAAATTATAAAAAATCCTCAAAATATGAGCTCGTCTGGATGTACTCTCTTACGCATGCGATACATTGACAACCAGATGTACAACTAACAGGTAATAGGCTCCAACACATTGCCGCATGAGTACCACAACTACGTCTCAGTCTTAGACAAGTTGTGGTCCAATGCCGCATGAGCAATAGGGGTGGGGGGAAATAAGCGAGGAGTTTCACAGTATAGACAAATGAAGTTAGTCTCTCCATATTGACACTCAGTTCTGGTGCTAGATAAGAAAGCTGCATCTTATTAAGCTGATGACGGTAAAGAAGCTTGTCAAAGAGAATCGACTTTACATAGATAGCCGGAATATGAGTTTGTCGACAGAAGGTCAATCAACTTAGTGAATACCTTAAAGAAAAAGATAGTTGATATTGCATGTCGACAAAGGACCAAGACACCAGAGAAAAGGACTAAAGAATGTGGCTACACCTATTTTAAATCATCATATTGTAGGATAAATATAAACAGGAACAGAGAGCAATCATCATTTAGGAGTTTAGGATAAAGTTGCAGAAATAACAAGAATTGGTGAGGATTCTTTTGGGCGAGTCTGGAGGCTACTCCCTCCTGCATAATTGGAAGAATGGTACATGCATTTAATTAAGCTAATTGCAGATTACAAGAACTAGTTTAAATAGAAATTGAGATTTATACTCCAAGCAGCTAGTAAACAGCCTGAAGACCATAGATTTTGTGAAACGAGAAAAAATAGGGAAGTTCAAGTTGAATTTGATTAGTTATTAACGTATAAAAGCTTATGCGAAATGGGGAACAATTTTAATTCTTGGATTCTTAATTGTGACATAACCATTAAGAATATTCTAAACAAGCAACAAATCAAGTACACGTCAATCCCAAACATGTTGAGGCCAGCTAAAGAAATTCCATATATTCGATATGGTCTAATACGGCATCAATATTCTACACATTATTCTTAATACTTTCAAGACGTCTCTTCAAACTCAAGGTGATGAAGCAACTTAAGTTTGTTTATTTTGGAAAAACACTAGAAAATACGGAGGTAGACAGTCTCCTAAATAGTACTGCGGAATAGTGAACGATCACCAAGCAAGAGCAGAAGTGGTGATGAAATTCTTTCTCTCCAAAGTTGATAAGTAGTTTCACAACAACAGAAAGTGCCTCTTGTAGCATCGAAAAGAAATATATTATTAATCACCGGAAAGATGTTACCAATGCAAATTTCAAGATATCATCAATGCGAATTGACGTATTTATTGTTCCGAGGAAGGACACACCCAAAATCCACTACCATGAACAAAAAAGACCACCTAGACTTTTTCGGACAGTAATCAGAAATACAATGTGAAGATGTACTCCATAGCAAACTCTAGTTTTTTTCTATATAGGTTACTCCATAGCCAAACTCTAATACCAGAAGGAAGAAGAAAAAAATAGGACTTCTCAAGAACAATGAATAGGAATTCAACATGCAAGGTAGCACTTAATATCCTAACTCTGATACTACGAAGAAAAAGAAGAGATCAAAAAGTCTTCTGGAATATTTTGCTGGAGAAGTCCCCAGCAATCTGAAGTGACAGTATCATCGAAGTGATCACTTAAAAGGGGTATTGTACCACTGGATCATTCACGGACTATAAGAGTGGTGCCTAGACAACGGTTACCAGAAAGAGATAAGTATAGTAAACTTATGAAAACAAAGAAAAGAAATCTTTATCAAGATTGCATAGAATCTACTACCATGTGAAAAAAGAGATGATACTTGGAAAGTTGCACGTGCTGACTAGGTTCTAGCAATATGTGAAAAGAGACAGGAAAGAAAAGTTAACTCTTGAAATTGGTTAATTAAACATACAAGAGGTCTCCTTATATAAGAATTTGAACATCATGAAATAAGGAAAGTCTCCCAATTCTTGAAATTCTCAGATTTAACATAATATTAAGCAGTGCTGACAGTATTTATTTCACATAGTGTTAAAGGGAAAGAAAGGGGGAAACGCTATACAAGAAGCAATAGCAAACATACCTAGAACCGCATCAAGAAGTACCCTTAACAATAATTACAGGGCATTGTGCATGGTTTGAGCAATAGTTGCTTACACTCCCCAGAAACATCCTGTTTAGATTTAAAATTAGTCAAATACATGTCTGTGTAGAAGAACTGATCATGTATGATCCAATAACCATAAAATCGAGTGAAACTACTTCTAGAATTCAGATTGGCAATAAACAGCACGATTTTAACCAAGATAAAGATCCACATCCATCAATTACATATGTTAGGTTATGGTAAAAGGTACAATTTCAGAAACAAGTATAAATGATTTTGAAGCCAGGGGTAAAGAGCCCTTTTCTGTAGCAGGTTGACCAGAAAATCACTGCTTCACTCCACAACTGCAGCTACTAATCTTTGATTCATTTACTTGTTGCCAGAATATACTTGTCTATGAAGTGAATTGTAAGCCTTGGGACTAGGCTAATTAAAGAGCTTTCCTATACCCAGGTTACCTGTCATGTTATCCCCAGTAAATGACATGCCTGAAAATAGCACAGAAAATTAAGGCTCATTTTTATCAGCAATACTCCAGTTAAGATGCCTAATTTTTTTATGAAGTTTAAGTGACTAATTCAGTTAACGTATACAAAAAGTACCTAATAAAGTAACTAGCCATCGGTTTTAAATAAAAAAAACTGCAACTTAAAGAGATTGCCTCCAGAGATGACATAGTTGAAAATAACGCTTATACTGCTGTATGCCTGGACAAGAGGGAGGTGCAACCAGGGCGGACACACGTTCAACGAAGCGGTATCATGCGACATTGCTTCGTTGGAAAATCTTACTGAATACATGTATCAATACTGTGAGGAATTGAGTAAGTAGAAAAAAAATGACACCACTTCACATACATCATCTCCTGGCACGTTGGTTGTGTGCCTGATTTGCTCTAAGAGTTCACAGGTTCGAACCTCAAAGAAGTAGAATTGAACTCAAGACCTTTTCTAACTTAGGATTCAATAAAACCTATGGATTAAGGCATTTCTTGTATAAAAATATGATAATTATAGTTATTTATTTTCATTCTTCCATAAATTTCGATACCGCTTACAAAAATTTCTGCATATGCCCTGGGTGCAAATTCTAGATTGCATAAAAGACTCTTTAGGACCATAGCCAATTTGAAAAGAAAATACAAAGGAAAACTTAGGTAGATGAGCAGGGTAAGGAATGCTTTACTTTATGCTTTCTTCATAAATTTCCATCACTAAAGTAAATTCATTGCTCAACTAACGAAATCGCGTAAAAATTACGGGTCAACGTAAAATAAGGGTTTCAGCTCTATCTACTATTGCTTTAGCTGTACAAACGTATATCGAATTGCCATTTTTCGACATCCAGTGTCTATTGCACTACTTTGAGTTGTTGGTAATTCTTCACCGGTCAATAGATTAATTAGCTACACTTCAATCTCAAACTAGTTTGGGACAGCTGTATGAATCCCCTGTGGGGTTCTACAAAATTAGAGATTCTCTAAATCTCACACTTATCCCTTTACTGCGGTACAAGTCTCCAATCGAACTATAAAAGAACTTGGCGAAGCAACAAACTTGATGTAAGTATAACAAATACTAGATGTTAATCCCAGCTAGTTGGTAGCTCTTCATCATGTTTTTCTTCTCGTTCACATGTGCTAAGTAAGCAAAAAGTTCTTGCTTTTGGACAAGAAATGAATAGTACAAGTTATTTAACCTTATTACATTCTTTTTCTCACTCTTTGAAGAAGAATAAAAGCAAGCAAAGCTAATGCTTGGAAAATACTCCATCCATCCCAATTTATGTAAAAGTGGTTGACTGGGCATGGAGTTTAGAGAAAGAAAGAACGACTTTTAAAACTTGTGATCTGAAACATGTCATAGATATTTATGTGGCTATAAATCGTCTCACTACGGGTAAAACGGAAAGTTTGAAGTTAAATTGTTCTAAATATAGAAAGGTGTCATCCTTTTGGGACAAACTAAAAAGGTAAGTATGTTACAAAATTGGGACAGAGGGAGTAACATGTATGCCTTAAAGTTTTAGGACCAATGAGCTAGTTGAATTGTGCGAGCATTCTCATAGAAGAATCAGGACATAAGTTATCCAAAATATTTACATATGGCTTTGTTGACTAAAGTAGTAGAGATCCTAAACTACGTCCACTTACTGAGATTCCAAAATAACTTTTCTACAAGACTGTTCAGCAAAATGTTAAAAACTACTCATTTACAGCGGACCACAAAAGCTCATGCTCACTATGTTGAATGGAAAACAATCTAAACGTGCTTTAGGTAAAGCGGGTTATCCAGTCAGAATAATTCAACAATAACAACATCCTCCACGTTGAGAATTTATACCTTTTAATGGGACCAAAAGCACGGGAACCCATCACTAGCAGATCAACATGCATTTCTTCAACAGCATCACAAATTTTCTCCTTTGGATCCCCAATAAGTACTTGGGTCTTAAAATTTGCCTGATTCAGAAAGCACTTTTCCCCATCAATAAAAATAGAAGGATAGAACACCAATAATGCTTTTTGTGATGCCATATTAGGCTTCTGCTTTGCTTTCTAATATCTTCTAGCATTTCTCAGTGACTGAATTTCCAACAAATCACATCAAAGGGTACAAATTTAAAACGTATCAAGCAAAACATCAATGTCAGTGCAGCAAAAAAGATGCCATGGTGGACTCAAATTGCTAATGCAGGAAACATAAAGTAGATCAGAAGCACCAACCAACTCCAATTACGAATCTTCTGCTACAATTTAAATTGCACCCTTTATATTTTGAGACGTCACCAAAATTCTGATACCAGTACATTTCTATAGAATCTATATAAGTTCATAATTTATAATATAGTTTCATGTTCATTAAAGTATTCAATTTTAAACTTCGATGAGATATTTCTTCTATCAAACTACCTGTTCAACCATGTAAGCTGTGTAACGGCAAGATAACTTCCATAGATAGAAATTGAGTAAAAAAAACTCACATTTTTACTAGCACAAATCTCAGTGGCATGGTTCAAAATGGCCTGAGTGATCCGCTTTTGGTGTGCCTCAATCGCAGCATTAAACGCAGGCACCTCAATATCACCTGTTAATCTCCATAATTTAGTTGTACTAAAAATTAACAAGAAATGTGAACTCCAATCAATCAATTAAATACGCCTTAATCCAAAGAAAAATGAATTAAAACACAAGGATAATAAGAGATTGACTTAACTGGGACCACCAAAAGGGATAGCTGCAGGATTAAGACCAGCAGCAATAGACGGTGGAGATTGAACGTGGAGAATAACAAAGGAACCTTGTGGTTCTCCAGAATCGGGATCATGGGGTTTGAGCTTGATATTGTCAAGAGCCCAATTCAAGGCGTTCATACTCTCTTCACTTCCGTCAACGGACACGATCACACACTTCAACTTTCCGGTCATGGTTGTTTCTGTAAATTCGAGTAAAATTGGTACTGAGTTTTTACTTGGAATCAAGTTTTTGTGGTTTAATTGAAATATCAAGAAATGAAATCCACTGTATTGATCCTGAAATCCTTCGAATTTGATGTAAGTTCTTCGTTGGAAGTTTTAACATACCACCATTTTCAACACTTTCATGACAAGTTTTTCTTTTTCCTTTTTTTTTTGTAGCGTGTGTGGCTGAAAAAAATAATATTATAATAGATTATCCGAGTATTATTACAAAATAGGGTTGGTAATGACAGCAGTAGTCATTTTTAAGTATGTTGTTTAAAATATATTTACAGAGTATAATGTATTTAAAGATTAGCAAAGTTGCTCAAATTTTAGGACACGATATCTTGAAATTTAAACCTTAAAGTTCAACATCGTGTCCTAAAGTTTAAAAATTATGTCCAAGAATTTGAATCTTATGTCCTGAATTTTAAATTAGCAGTTCAGATATTTAGGACACTTAGTCATGAATTTTAAATTAGCAGCTCAACAATTTAGGATACTAAGTCCAAAATTTCAAATTAGCAGCTCAAAAATTCAGAATACTTAATCATGAAGTTTGGGTGAATTAGTTAACCATTAAATATATTTTAAATTATAAATATAGTTTAAAAAACAGACTTAAAAGTGACTAATAGTGCATATCGCCCAAACGGGGGTCTCTCGCTGTAGGAAAAGTTGGCACGTGCTAGCCAGTTTTCGGATTGGTCGTTGAAAAATAGCCAGCATTTTCAAAGTCATTGAAAAATATCCACTATTTTACTGCAACAAAGAAAGTTCCAGCATAATATACTGGAGATCGGTGCACATGTGTATGGACTTCCAGCATATTATGCTGGAACTTCAACACGCGAAAAGTTCCAGCATAATATACTCGAGATTGGAGCACATGTGTATGAACTTCTAGCATGTTATGCTGGAGTATTTTCCGGATTTTGAACAGTGTTTTCGCTCAGATTTATCTTTACATGAAAAGTGGCTAAATTTCAATTACTTTTGAAATTGTGCCTATTTTTGAATGATCACTGGTAAATCTGACTATTTTTTAAGAGAAAATCTCACTTTATACCCATTAATTCCAAAGCATTTACCCTTTAATGCTCATGCCCAAATTATTTACTTCTCTTACCCATGCGGCCCAAACTTTTTACCCGGCCTTTATTCGATTCGCACTACCACTGTCTCACCAACCGCAATAAAGTGCTTCTTAATTTCAAATGCGTCCAGTTTTTTCCGGATTTTGAACAGTGTTTTCGCTCGGATTTATCTTTACATGAAAAGTGGCTAAATTTCGATTACTTTTGAAATTGTGCCTATTTTTGAATGACCACTGGTAAATCTGACTATTTTTTAAGAGAAAATCTCACTTTATACCCATTAATTCCAAACCATTTACCCTTTAATGCCCATGCCCAAATTATTTACTTCTCTTACCCATGCGGCCCAAACTTTTTAGCCGGCCTTTATTCGATTCGCACTACCACTGTCTCACCAACCGCAATAAAGTGCTTCTTAATTTCAAATGCGTCCCCCCCCCCCCCCGCTTCTTTGTCAAGAGAGTTAGAATTCTTTACCTTTCTTTTTAGTTTTATTATAATAACTTCACTTTTAGTACTCTGCTATTTGACCTGCTTTAATTTAAGAACTTTTTTAGCCTATGTCTAAAACTTGCGGCCATTATCATTAGAGGAAAGTTTGTGTATGAACTCGAAGAACACCAGTACTCCCATGTATTAGTTTTTATGTGTATTTGAATATTCATCATTGTTGGGCTTGAAGCTCTTGAATTTAAAATTTTTATTTTGAAACTTTTTTGTTTGATTCAAAGTGGGTGTTGTTAAATATTACTTATAATACCTTCTGAAAGTTCATACTGAAATTTGATAGCATTTGGAGCTAATTTGAGGTGATTGAGATTGAAATTTTCAGCTGAAAATCGAAGAAGAACGCATCTACCCAATAGTATATTGCTAGGTATACAATAGGCTATAGGAGTATATAGCTATACTCCAATAGTATACTATAGGAGTATATAGTTAAATTACAACAGTATACTATTATAATATACAATATATTATTATAGTATACTATAATAATATGTAATATACTGTAACAGTATGTTGTAATAGTATACAATACCATAATAGTACACTTATTACCCGTAAATTCACTTGCCTTTTTCCTTTTAATTTGCTTTAAGCTTATACCCAGCGTGAGGAACAAATTGAAAATTCAAATCTTTTTTTTTGTTTTGATTTATTCTATGACTTCAATTCCAAGACTTCTGACTTCTGGAAAATATTAATCTACCATTGGAGGACCTTGAAGTTTTGAAACTCATAAATTGAGTTTGTTGAGTTTGTGGTTATTTTGAAACTCAAAACAAGAAAAAAAGAATTAACTCTTTGCGTACAATTGTATACCCTATTGGCATAGCTCTATACTATACTGGTATTATATGTTAGTTAATATTTTTTGGTTATATTAGCTACATTTAATTGATACACAATTTGATTTTTCTTTAGTAATGGTATAAACAAAGAATAATAAAAAATAGTGAAAACAGTAAATGAAATTAGATTACGAAGAGAAAAAGAATATAAAAAAAGAAGTTAAATGAAATTAGAAAAGAAAAAAATAAGAAGAAAACGAGAAAAAAGAAAAGGAGAAAAGAAAAGAAGCATAGAAATAAAAAAGAATTGGAAAATAAAGAAAAAATTCCCCACAAAAATTACTATAAGTAGGAAATGTAATTAGTTTATGGATAGAAAAACAAATAGATAGACAAGAGTAAATAGTTTTGTTTTTGTGGGTAACTGTGTCATTCCCCCGTTTTTGAATTTCTCTCTCGCTGTAGTGGCAAGTTCATGGACTTAACAGACGCAGTTCCATATTGGGCTTGTAATTTTCAAATGAGCTTTTCCCCGCGTGGTTAACCCAACTGAGATGCGATGCTTTTAGCTGTAAAAAAGAAGATATATTGTGAACACAAGATATATATCAAAATACAATAATTTTCTTTATTTGTTTGGAATTTATAATTCTCGTATATAACATGTTTGATCTATAAATTTGCAAATAATAGAAAAGCTTCTGATCAAGAACAAACATTAGATGTTTACACATACAGAGAAAAGAACTTGTATAAAACCTTTCCTTCGTCCATATAACCTCAAAAGGAAATATGTTACGAAAATTTTAAAATATAAATGGATTAAAAAGAGATTAAGTTAAAGAAAAAATGTATCTTAACTATATCATTCCGAGTTAATATATTCCAAGGCACTTTTGCGAACTAAATGAACCATGCGTCTAACTTCATTTTGCCAATTGGCCTAACTCAAGTTGAAAGTTCAATTATCACAAGTATCATCTATGAACTTTATCAAATTTCTTATCTATTTATCTAATCAGTTGTTCAGTTATTTATCAAATTTTAATAATATTAGCTTAATGAATTTTGATACACACATCCCATGAATATTAATGATTCATATAATTCATCGTCTTAACTAATTTGGAATCGAGCCATAATAATTGTTGTTGTGTCGATACTCACCGACACACACAAATTGAATGTGTGTGTACTCTCGTAGCTTCAATAAAAAAGAACAATGTTGTTGACTTGAATCAAGAATGATTTAAACGATTTGTCCCCCCCCCCCCCCCCCCAAAAAAAAAAACGAAGATGAGTCACAGAAATCTAAAAAGTAAAATATAAACAAATATTGTAATCTAGCTAGTCCAAAATAAGCATGATAATGTTGGGCTCATGCCCATGTTGTCCAATCAAATGTCCAATGGCCTAATCCTATTCTCTTTTGGTTTCTATTCCTATTCGGAATTGATTCGGTGTTTATTCCTATTTTGAGTGGGTTTTGGCTTTAAGAGAAAGCGTCACTCATGATCTATAAATATAACAACCTTGAAGAATTGCTCTATGTTCATTGATACAAGTCTTTGAAAGATTTAAGCACATAAGAGTGATTTTTGAGAGAGCTTTCATTAAGAGAGAAGAGAGAAGAAAAGTATTTGTTTTTGCTGCAGATTTTTATTGCGATCAGCCAACTTCAAATCACGTTTTCTGATACGTTAACCATTGGATCGGGCTAAATTTTGATTGAGTGTTTGTAACATTTTGTTCTTTGATTTGAACGGTGGAGATCGAATTTGGAGGCCCGTAGCATCTGATTTCGAGCATCAAACAGCAACTTCGTTTTTGTGGATTCTCTTCTTTCTTCAATTGATTAGTTGTTGCTATTGTTGCTCCGTATTTGACACTTGTTGTGTAGCCAATTTGGAGAATTTTTATAACCTTCTTATTGTTATAGTGAAGATTTTTGGATCTTTGTGATCCCGTGATTTTTACCTTCGATTTGAAAGGTTTTCTACGTTAAAATTTGGTGTTCTTTATCTTCTTTACTTTCGGGTTTGCCTCTTTTGTGACATAACAGTGGTATGAGAGCCTTGGTTATTAATGGAGGCGAATATGAGCAAGATGGTATGTTTAAATGGGAGAAATTATAATAATTGGATAAGCAAGATGAAAGATTTGTTGTTCGTGAAGAAGGTGCATCTACCCGTTTTTGCAGCTCATAAACTCGAGAGTATATCTGATGAAGATTAGGATTTCGAGCACTAACAAGTATGTGGATACATACGACAATGAGTTGAAGATAATGTTCGCAGTCATATTGTGAACGAGACACATACGAGATCATTGTGGGAAAAGTTAGAGATTTTTTATTCTTCAAAAACTGGGAACAACAAGTTGTTCCTGCAAAAGAAATTGATAACCTTTAAATACAAGGAAGGCAGCCCTATCCTTGATCACATAAATGATTTTTAGGGCGTCTTTAATTAGCTGTCTGGAATAGGAGTTAATTTTGATGATGAGTTACAAGAACTTTGGCTTCTTAATACTCTGCATGACTCTTGGGAAACTCTTCGTGTTTCTTTGACAAATTCAGCTCCTGGAGGTAAGGTGACCATGGAATATGCCAAAAGTGGTGTGTTGAACGAGGAAGTAAGGAGAAAATCTCACGATTCGTCCTCGCAGGCAGATATCTTGGTTACACAAGACCGGGGGAGAGATAGAACAAGAGGATCGAGGACTAGAGGTAAAAGTAGAAGTAAGTCAGGATCCAAATACCATAATATTACATGCAACCACTGTGGCA